GTAAGATCTGCTACTGCTCTGAGGAAAAAGTGGCATACAGGAAGGAGGGAAGCAAGAGGGAAGCAAAAGCCAGAAGTAGATAGGAAGCTACTCTGGCCATAGACAACTTCAACAAACTCAAAAGCTCCACAAATACACAATAAACCTTGTGAGGAGCTATTGTTTTGGGTTTCCCCCACCCCCAAAATGCAATAATTATGGAGAACAAAACATCTGGGAAAGAGGAAGGAGTTGTGCAAGCAGACATGACCCTCACATCACCAAAATTCCTGGAGACTGATCTGGATATCAAAAATATCTTGCAAAATCAGCTGTGCGCGCAGAAAACTGCAAGAACACCAGGCCACTCTTCCAGGTCTCAGATGAGGCAGCTACAAGTGACAAGGACACAGAAGCTCTCTTGTCAAATTAACATTGCCACTGGAAGGTCAAGGAAAATCTGGAGGCATAACTTACAAGATGTGGGACCAGAAACCCAGGCATGCTTAGTAGAACTATGGTAGCTCCATGTGAGGGGAGCAGGTTAAAAGCCAGATGATGTATATATCTTGAAGAGAAGACCTGGCTGTGCAGGATCAACAGTAAAACTAATCTTTAGCCGTGCCCTGCAGCCGATCAGATCTGCTTGTCGCACAAGTGTAGCGTCCTTGGGCAGCAAGAGACTTGCAAACATACAGTTCCACCCATCGGCTGTGCTGTTCAAGCAGCCAACCCACTGGACACTGTAGGTCTTGATGGTGCTTGTGCATCACATCTACATCAGGAAAGTGGCAGTAAGCTGTTATTAGTCAGGGCCATAGCTCAAGTAGAATAAAACCTTGCTGCTTGCTAGAAGTTATAACTGATTAAAAACTCAATTAAGGGAGGTTTTTTGGTTTGTTTTTTGTTGTTGTAGGGATTTGGGGTATTTTTTTTTTGTTTTTTTGGTTGTTTTTTTTTTTTTAATGCAAAGTTGTACATCACTTTTGAATTCCATACAGCATTCCTGGTCAGAGAGAGCTGCCCTCAATTCACTGTACTACATTCCTCAAAAAGGAATTCCCTCAGCAAACCCAGAAAACCTTTTGCAGTGCTCAGCAAGGCACTGCAGGGAGCAGGTGAAGCTCCCTGTCTAGCACAAGGCAGCAGTCATTTCCTGGGCACTGAACAGCTCTGCTAGCAAGCACTGCAGCCATGCTGGGTGGCACTGACCCATAACAAACAGCCTCTTTAAGAAGGAGCTGCTGGCTGCCCACCTGCAGCCTAGCTGTAACCTAGATCCTTAGAGAGGAACAAACCTTCTGTGAAGCCTGCCCTCCAGTGTTTCCAAGCTTCCAGCTAAAGAGACTCCACAATGATTTTCCTTCCCAGTTATTGTTGAAAGGTCAAGTCCAAGCCAGGACACCACCATCTGATGCTCATTCAAGAGTGTGTCCTCCTAGATATAGTTCACTGGGGTCTCCCCAGCAACTAACTGCCTCCAGCCCACTCTATAAGCAAGAGTACAAAATACACACAACAGAAGGAAGTTATAAGCTACTCCAGTAGCTTCATTTCATTAGGCTTTCAAGATAGAGAGGGAAAAACAGAAAATTGCTGTTTCTATGCTGCCATTCATTTAGCCTGTCAGGTAGAAAACCTGCTATTTACTTCAGGAAGAAGAATAGAGACAGAAGAGTTTCTAGAAGAAAACACTTTTGGCTTTCAACTGGGAGCTGTATTCTAACCCCACTTTCACTGAGATTAAGCTTGTTTACTCCAAAGCAAAAAGCTTGGCATGACCAACAGAAACACCTTTTCTTGCCAGAACCCTAATAGCAAATGTCTGTGGAAAAGCCACCTCGAGCAGTGCTGTTTACTTTGGTAATGAAGCAAGTTCCCTGGAATGAAGTCTTGCAGTCTTCCCAAGAGATGTTGCAATACATACCTCAGCTCTATGCCATGCAAGCTGCTCTCAGAGCCTGAGAACTACATGGTAACTCCAGAGGCCAAGGCAAGTGTTACTCCAGACAGGACTCTAGACTACTCCTGCTGTGGGTACACAACTTGGATCCCAACTCAAATTGGCTGGTTCTTTAGTCTTATTCTTTGCTTCAAGCTAACCCACAGCCAGCAACACCCTCGAGAATGCTTTTGACAAAAAGGACCTCAAAAGAAGGTTCTCCAGCATAACTGCAACTTTAAAACCAAACTCACCCCCTTGATACTCATTTTTTCAGACAACTCTGAACTTAAGACTGCAAGTCACTGCAGAAGTGTTTAGAGGGAACATTAGCACATAGTTGGACTAAAAGCTACCTGGAGAGGAACAGAAATTCAAGGTAGAATGCAGAGGCCAAGGCTCCCTTTCTGTTCAGGGAGTCACTGCCCTGAGGCTTTTCTGCTGCTCCTCATTTATTTAAGACTGAGTCTCAAGCCACTGTCCAAACTCCCTCTGACCACACAGAGATGAAAGGGTCTCCACTCTCCAATATTCCTAGCCCTTGAGGCCAGAGCATACGGATACTCCTTGACTCAAACTTCAGCTTCAGACTTTGCTTCCAACAAGATGGATGACTTAAGTCCTCCATAATCCAGTAAGTTAAAGATTCCTTTGTAGTAGAATTAAATTGACTTCCTTCCAGAACAGGTACTCACATTTGCACATGATGTTTACAAACAACTTGCACTCCTGTGAGAGCACCTTCACACATGATTGTAGCTCTTCACAGCCATGCTTTCTGCTCTTAGACATTGAAATTCCTGCTTTGAGGAGAAACCAAGCTCTAATTTCAAGTGTTTACACATACTCCCAAGAGCAAGGGGAAAAAAAAAAAATAATCTTACCATGATTAGGTTATGTAAAAAGTTTAATTATAAAATAAATAAGTTTGTTATGGAAACATTAAATATTAAATACAGTAATAAATATTTACACATTTACAGATATGACTTGACAATTAATGGTTTTCTCTGCTACCAGAAGAATTCTGCTCTGTTTATACAGAACACATTGACTCTTCCAAGAAGAAACTGAACTCTAATACTCTGTGCTCAAGACTGCATGGACAGTTCAAGAAACCGAGGACACTTGGGTCAGAAAAGTTTGAGGTAAGTCAAGTTCTTTGCACCAGAAGGTAGAGCACAGGAGACCGCTGCCTGCAGAGTATCAGCGCATTAATTTTATTCTTCAAAGAAACAGGTTCTTGGCCAAGTTCAACAGGCTGGATCCGATGGAAAGCATTTTACACTTAAGTGCTGCTTAAAGCACCAGCAAGTGTCTGGGTGACAGAAGTAGCTTTCTGTTTATAACTGATGGGTCCAGGATTAACTTTCTGGAGCAGGGGCCTTTTCCTTCAGATAAAGGGCTTTGGATATTGCATCTACTCTCTCAGCATCCCAAGTAGACTAGTTTTAACTCAGGTTAGCATACACAAAAATAGATAGCTCCGCTCACACAAGTCCTACTGAGTTCAGAGGGATTACTTTCCACACATACAGTAACAGAACCCAGGTGTGGCTGACAAAGATCTGTCACCTACACCCTGCAAGTCAGAACTAGAGATGAAGTTCTTTGAAGCCGATATCAACAGGGAGCACAGTGACAGCAGAATTATGCTTTTCATCTGCTGAGGTCTAGGGAGAGAAGCCATCCAGAGCTCTTCCCTTTTCCACTTTGAGGGAAAGGAATTTTCTCCCCTCCATCCATTCCTGAAAGCCACAATGAGCTCTCTACCTTCGATTTAGAGCTGCCAAAGAAGACTTGCTAACAGAAGAAAGTTCATCCACACAACAGCAGAGACCAGAGCTCCAGCACCGATGAGAAGGCTCAGCAGCAGTAGTCTCTAGCAGGTCCTCTACACTGTAGTGGCAGCTCCTTCCACATAATTGTGCCAAAATGTAGCAGTAACTGTCCTGTCCTCCCCAACGAGCGATTCAGCAGCAAGTGGCATGTTGAGATCTTCTTGCAGCAGCCTCTGTCTGGATGTATCAGGGCTAAGTGGTAACAGCTCCAGCCCACAGTGTCCAGGGGGATGTGTCAGGTAGCCAGAGGTACGCTGCAGCTTGGCAGTGGCCACATCAGAACTGTTCTGTAAGGGGCAGACCAGGCATGTTAATACCACCAGAACATGAGCACTCTGTGCTAGAACCATGTCAAACCTACATCTGAAGCTGGCAGGCTAAGGTTGTGCATATACCTGAAGACACTCTGCAGCTTCAAGCAAACTTCGAACAAAATCCTCCAACTGCCACTGGACAAAGCTGGTCAAGGTTCGTAGCTGACATGCAGCAAAGCAAAACTTCTGAGCTCTGCCAGAAGTACTGAGGGCTATCCTTCATAGCTTCCTCCTTCAACTTCTAATACAACTCCTATTCAATAAGGGTCCTGGAATCTGCTGTTAGGTACACTTTTGCTCAGAGACTACCAACTTTCTTGCTCACTGAAATCCACTGGATTTCCCCCAGGAGTGATCCACGTAGGCCAAGGAGCTTTAGCACTCAGTTGCTATGACATTATGAAACTTGCCTGAGAGGCTATCTATGGTGGTCATAGAATTAGAAGCTTTTTCTTGATCTGTAAACCTCCAAGCTCCAGAAACCTCCTGATGCCTCGCAGAGAAGGTATTAAAATGCTCAGTACTCCTCTTACAAGAGGCAATGATTCTCTTGGCTGCTGCACCATCTTCCATGATGGCAGTCTACCATGGCTTCTTGCACTAAGCATGTCTGTTCAGATATTAGGATTTTTTTTTTCCTTCTTAAGTCCACTGATCTCAGTACAGCTTCCTATTCTTACTTTTTCTTCAAGACAGCAGTCAGAAAGTTAACAGAGCTGTTGAACTTGCACAACTCAGGTGGTTTTGAGAAACCAGCAAATTGAGGCAGTCATTCACATGTAATCTACATGTTTCAAGGCACTTCAAGCATTAAAACCTAATGGGAGCTTTGCCAAGCATGCAAGCAATGCTCACACGGGGAACTCCAGCCTGGAAGGACAGAAAGGTGTTTCAAGTCAGCTTTCATACCTCCTCTTTCCTCATTTACACACCAATGTGGCCATTTCTATTTTCTTGTCGAAGTTTTTTCCTTTCTTCTTTCTCTTCATACTGAGGACACTTTTTCCTGACCCTGTGGAATTGCAGGTTGTTAGAGGTCATTTTGAACACTGATACACACCTGCAGCATTTACACTCATGTCATTTGGATCCTCAGGCAACTCGTCAGTACCAGGAAGCTTCAAGCAAGCCAGTTTTTAAACATCCAGCATCAAGCAATATCTGATCATAAAATCAAGGAGCCCCTGAGTTCAGCACTGGCAGTTTTGCTGCACAGGGCCAGGGCTTCTCAGCTTCAACCTCATGAGGAAGCAAGATGAAGAGGGTTTATTGCTGCAACTGAGCAAAGGACCAGGTGGCTTTCTGGTAGACAGATTTCCTGGTGGCTTTAGCAAATGCTTGCAGAGACCAGACTGCCTTCCTCCTCCCCACAGCAGAGCCCTGTGGACTTAAGTTTCTCAAGTTCCTGTCCCCTTGATGCAACTCTTGAGCACATTGTAAGCACAGCTGCTTAATAATTTTCTCGCGATTTCTCCTGTCTTTTGCAGTGACTGCTCCAGACAGACCATCTAGCTTCTCTGGACAAAGGTATAGATTAATGATCTACACACCTCATGCTTGTGAGGGTTCAGAGCATGAAATAAACACAATGCTACTCCATGGAACTCCAGAAACTAACAAATATCATTTGCTCTTGCAGCACTACAGAACTGGTTATCTCTCCTAGCAGCAAAGAATGAGGCAGTGTTCAGAGAACAAGTGCTCATCCCAGCATTCCTCAAGTTCAGATCTAAACACGAAGCAACAGCAAAATGACAAATGCACACCTTGTTTGCTGAACTGCAAAGAAAGGGCACAGCATGTACCTCATCCAGCTGATGTAGTTCATCAAGATCTAAAATTAGGCCCAACTTCCGAGTTTCACCTACAGTGACCCAACCTCTACCATGGTGGAGCTGCAGTGTTAGACCTGGAGCACTACTCCAGTAGTCTGGAAACACCGGAGTCAGGCTTCCTGTGCTATCTAACCTCAGCACTAGTTCCTGAACACACCAGCAAGAAGCAAAGGCACAGGCAGGCACAAGCTGCTGCGTACTGCTTTTTAGCAGGTGCAAAGAAGAGTTCAATGTATGGTTTAAAACATGCACCCAGAGAAGCCTTTTAATTTACCCACAACGGGAGCCCAGACTCCCATTACCCACCACACAACCATCAACAGTTGGTTAGGCTGGAATGGTTGTTCCCTCCATCTTAACAGCATGCAGCACAGAATTTGGGACCAACAGCATTTGTTTCCCCACTCACTTCCCCTCAGTCTAAGTAACAGCATTTGTTTCCCCTCACTTCCCCATCAACCTCTGTAAATAAATGGACAGTTGGAGCATCACCTCCTTCCCCCCAGATGTGCACCCAGTTGCTGAATAGCAGCTATACATGAGGCTGTTACACTACTGCCTGCTGGCTTTTCCACCAGGATTAGGGAAAGCACTGCTGTCTTGCAGGCTTCTCCACAAGGATTAGGGAAGGCACTGTTGTGTCAGCATTAACACTCCTCCTCCACTTCCTGCTTGTGTTCTGCAGGACTGTAGCTATTCCAGTTGTACCAAGAGCAGAAAGGCTGTGGTCTAAAAGAATCAAGGGTCACAAGCTGCCCACAGCCAACAGCAAGAAAATAAGTGAACACATAGTCACTTACTAACTTCTCAGACCTTGCTTCTACCCTCAACACCCATCCAAGCCAGGATAAGAACTCAGCCCTTTTGGATGCCTTCCACACAGGTAATTCAGATGACCCATATGCATTTCAGGGCTATTGGACAGAAATCCCGCTCACACTTAAGCTAGGCAGATACCAAACAGTATGTGTGTATAAGTGTATATATATATATATATATATATACTTACTGCACTATCACAATGATAAGTACAGTAATGAAGCTGATGCTTGAAAGCAGGACAGCTACCACTACCAACACAGTCTTCGAGTAGTCTGCCACATCATTCTTCCGTTGAGTCTTCATGAACTGTTCACCACAGCGCTCACCAAAAAAATCCTGATGACACCTGCAAAGCAAACATTAACACAAGTGCTTATCAGCTCCAGTGCTGCCTGGAGCTAAGGACACCCACACACATTCAAACCTGACTTAGCCATCTTCAGAGTTTCCCATGAATCTCAAGACGCTCGCTTCAGAGCATGTTCATGAAATGCAGTCGCTGGGCTAGCACAAGGTTTGTCAGCATTTCAACACGTCGAGATTAGTTTGGGCGTGATGTTTCAGGAAGACACGCCTTTTCATTCTTTTGGGTTGAGTTTATGACCAACTGATGAGTTCAGTGGCTTGTTATGCATCTCAGATTCCATCATCACTTAATTTACATGGCAGAAAGATTCTCAGTCAAAATATGGCAGGAGATGGATCCATGCCGAGTTGACACCAATTTTTCCTCTAAGCCCTCATATGCTACTGGCTCATGCCAATCACACCTAGCTCACAAGGTACAAGTAACTTACTTGCAGGTAACCATCTGCAGATGTTCTAGGTAAATGCATTCACCATGGATGCAAAAGTTTTTGTATTCCATTTCACAGGGAGTCCCTTTCTTTTTGTTTTTCCCTTTGTTTTTCTTCCTTCTTGATTTGCCGGCATTCTTCTCACCCCCCCTCTTTGTTGGCTTGGGCTTAACCACAGGTTCAACTGAAAAAAGGACAAGATCACTCAGTCTAGGAATGCTATATTGTGTGAAAAGTGAATTACAGAATTTGGTGGGGGTAGAGAGATGGTCACTGCAGGAGAACTTGTCACTGGAAAGCATAGGATGCAGGTGAGCATGCAGCTAGGCATTTCACATCCACCAGAAGAACAGCTAACTTAGCTCATGAAGCATAACACTACCACCATTAAGTCCTGTGCAATGTAGACCAAAAGCAGCCAAGAGTCACCAGAGATGAAAAGCAGCAGAGTTGAAGGCATAAGATACTTGAATGAAACTGTACAGGTTCAAGCAAAGGCTTGTAAAGAACACCAAGTTCACACTGAGCCAAGTCATCCACTAGTTTTGTATCAACCCAGATACAAGGCTAACAGCCTCCATCGCTCTAAACCCTCCATTTGCATCAGTGATGAAAGGCATTATAAATTACTAGATTGTCCCGGGCATTTGCAGAGGCAAGACAGCTTGATATCCTAGTCAGCATACTTCTTTCTCGCAAATAACCTGCAGTGCTTTCTTCATCAGAAGATGCTCATTTCCAGTTCTCCTGCTTTGAGAGATGCAGCATGCACTGAAGGAGTGAAGGCAGGATAGTCCACAGGAGTCAGGCTATTTGTTGTCCCGCTTACTGTTGCCCCTCATTATCTCAATTAAGAAACCTCTATAAGAGTGTGGTTTAAAAATGCTGGTGACTTAGTAGCCTTTGGATTTAAACAAGAGCAATCATCTTCCTTTCGCTGGAGAGAACAAGCTAAAGCCAGACACTGACTAAGGGGAATGAAGTACTTAGCTGCTCCATGTAGCAGTCAAAGTTCAATGCTATTGTCTCAGAGCAAGGTGCTAAAACACTGGTTCTCGGGAGAAACCATCCCTTCACTGATAGCCATAAAGCAACACTCTGCTATTGAGGAGTAACAGTTAACCAGGTGAGACTGAATAGGTCTTAAGACCCATTTAGAGCCATTTACAACACTTCATTTGCTCTACTGTGCTCCGCAAACCTACTGAAAATATTTTCTGTAGTACAGTATTTTATCCAGAGCACTACACATACAGGCAATCATCACAATAGGACACAACTAGTGTGTCCTATCCAACTAGTTCATAACCCTGTATTTCTAGTGAAGAGAGCCTGCAAAAAGAAATGAGGTGTAGCTCACTGTTGTCTAGACATCTGATCTTTTTAACTTCTAGATTAGCAAGCCTGGCTTGAAGTTACTTAAAAGCAAAAATGCCTTCAGCAACCAGAAGTCGGATTCAAATGGCATAAGCCATATTAACATGTAAATGAGGACACTGTTCCTGCAGTAAGGTTTCCTGTCCTAGAAGTGTGAGCTTACTCCTGACAGCTGAGGCTCCTGTTCTGTCCAGTTTGACTTGACATTTAGGCTCACACTGCAATAATTGAGGCTGCTTCCATTCTTTCCTCTTCAAGGCTCAGCTTGTCAGTTTGATCTCTGTGTCCCTGTCTGCAAGTTGCACAGGCAGGAAAGCCACCCGCAGTTGAATCATAACAGCTGGAAGGCTCCACAGATAAACCTCATGCCAAGTAGAAGAGCTGGTCTACAAACCAACCAATCACCTTTGGTAACAAGTCTAGCTGCTGCGCAGTTATACAGTGCTTAAGTCACCAAGCCAGTAGTTTTACAGGCCAAACTGCTCAATAGCCCTGACATTCCTGTTTACCCTGGAGGTCTTCAACTCGTGAAAAGCTTCAGCAAGGATCCACTAACTCCCTAGACTGAGCATCTGGAGCATGGTCCTCCTTCACCTAGTCTCAGGGTGTTTCCACAGGAAACATTTTAGCCAAGTCCACCCTAGAGAGCAACAGCACCTGCCTACTAACACCTACTGAGGTTCAAATGACTTGTAAGCTCCCAGCCTGTATTACAATTGCAGTTCAGCCAGAACAAAAAAAAAATCATCTCATCCTTATAGTCAGGCAGATTATTAAAATCTCTTCAGAGCTTAATAAGTGGAAAAATCCCAATAAATTCACGCAATACCTATTAACAATGAAGTATTGCCTGAAAGGCACTTAACAAGCTTTCCTACAGCCACTTAAAAGGTTTAAGTGTTTGCTTCCCAAGAAATTTCAGTCAACTCCAGCCCAAATAAACCATCATGAGACAGCATACACACAAAAAACCCCAAAATCCTTGGAGCTAGAGAGACAGCCCGATATAAATCTCACTTTTAAGGCAAAACAGCACTTACAAACCTCACTGACGCTTCCATGCTAAGTAGATGATAGCTACCCCATCTCAGCCCTCTTATCAGGCTTATCAAGACAGCAGTAGCAGAGCACGCAATCGGCTAACCTGCAGCTTCCACACACACCCTTGTGGCACTCACGCAAAGTTTTCATCCCCGACAGCCTATTCTGAATGCAAGTTCCAAGCAGAAGTACGCTTTTGCTCCGTACTCTATGAGGTAAGTGCAGCAGCAACCGCCTTACAAGAGAGACAAGCCAGAAAGAAGCCGGTGGTCACGGACAGCTGCTCGGCCCGGCGCTGCCGCCTGGCCGCGTCCCCCTCACCTCGGATCAAGTCGTCCACGATGTACTGGTGAACGGGCAGCGCCTCTTCGTACTCCTCATCCTCCTCGTAGTCGGGACCGGAGACGGGC